TGAGAAACAAACTGAGGGTTCTAGAAGGGAGGGGGGTGGGAGGATGGGTTAACCTGGTGATGGGTATTAAAGAGGGCACATACTGAATGGAGCACTGGGTGTTATACGCAAACAATGAATCATGGAACACTACATCAAAAACTAATTATGTAATGTATGGTGATTAACATAACATAATAAAATTTAAAAAAGGATTAAAAAAATCCTTTCTGATGGCTGAGTAATAAGGCTGAACATCTACCATTTACATTGACATAGATGGAACTGGAGGGGATTATGCTAAGTGAAATAAGTCAATCAGAGAAACAATTATCATATGGTTTCACTCATATGTAGAACATAAGGAATAGTGCAGAGGACAATAGAGGTGGGGGTGGGGGAACTGAATGGGAAGAAATCAGAGAGCGAGACAAACCATATGAGACTCTCGACTCCGGGAAACAAACTGAGGGTTGCAGAAAGGGAGGTGGGTGGGGGGATGGGGTAACTGGGTGATGGGCATTAAAGAGGGCACAGGATATGATGAGCACTGGGTGTTATACTGAACTAGTGAATCATTGAACATTATATCAAAAACCAATGATGTACTATACCTTGGTAATTGAATTTAAATTTGAAAAATTAAATTAAATTAAAAATCCTCAGGCCCAGATGTCTCCATTAATGAATTTTAACACATATCTAAAGAATCCTTTACAAACTTACAGAAACTAGAAGAGGAGAAAAAACTTCCAAACTCTTTCTATGAGGCCTGTATCACCAAAACCAAAACCAGACATAGACATCAGAATAATAATAAAAACTACAGCCCAATATCTCTTAAGAATATAGATTTTAAAATCCTCCTAAAAATACGCTAGCACACTGAATCTAGTAACATATGGAAAAGGTTATACACTGTGACCAAGTGGGATTTATCCTAGGAATACAAGGTTAGTTTAACATCTAAAAGCCAATTAAGGTAATATAGTATATTAATAAAAGACAAAAAACACATGATTATCTCATTAGAGGCAGAAAAATCAATTGACCCAATTCAACACCCAAAACTCAGAAAACAAGGTATAGAAGAGAATTTCCTCAGGTTGACAAAGAGCACTTTTGAAAACCCACAGCTGACATTATATTTGATGAAAGACTGAGTGCTTTACTCCTAAGACCAGGAACAAGAAGACAAGGATGTCTCCTACCACATCCATGCAACATTTTCTTGGAGATGCTAGCTAAAGCAAGAGAGCAAGGAAAAAAAATGAAGGCATTCACACTGAAAAGGAAAAGTAAAACCATCTCTATTTGCAATAACATGATCTTGTATATAGAAAAGCCTAAGAAATCCATTTAAAAGAATTAGAGTAAACCAGATCAGCAAAGATGCGGGATACAAGATCAGTATTTTTTTTTTATAAAATAGCAATGAACAACCTGAAAATGAAATTAAGAAAACAACTCCATTCAATATAGCGTCAAAAGGAATAAAACACTTAGGAATATATTTAACAAAAGAAGTCCAAGACTTCTATGCTGAAAATCCAAAACAGTGTTCAAAGAAATAAAGAAAACCTAAGTAAATGGAAAGACATCTAGTATTTATGGATCAGAAGACTCAGTAGTTATAAGATGGCGGTATCTCCCCAAATGGATCTACAATCCAATGCAATCCCTATCAAAATCCAGCTGCCTTCTTTGCAGAAATGGACAAGCTGATCTAAAATTTTTATGAAAATGGAAGGGACCCAGAATAGCCAAACCAATCTTGAAAAGGATTAACGAAGTTGGAGGACTTATCCTGACCAAAAATTACTTAGGTCATCATTTTACCCTAAATCCTTTAGTGAGGTTATGTCATATTTTTTAATGCAGTTAAATTCCATTGTCACAATCATCTTTCCATCCTGGGATTGTCCCACATCCTGGTTGATATTTTACAATCTGCATACATTAAAGGTCACTCTTTGTGATGTATGGTTCTGAGTTTGGACAGATGCATCGAATCCTATACCCACCACCTCAGTACCACACATCACTCTAAAACTTCCCCTATGTGTCCCCTTTGTAATCATATGTTAAGTGTATTTTTAACTTTATAAAATATACCAAGTTGTTGTCCAAAGTAGCTGTACCATTTTGCATACCTACCAGACAATGAACGAGAATTCGTGGTGCTTCACAACCTTGAAAACATCTGGCATCGCCAGTTTCTTGTATTTAGCCATTCTAATAGATGAGTTTTAGGAAAGCAATTCTTTTTTTTCATAAAGATTTTATTTATTTATTTGAGAGAAAGGGAGGAGGAGCAGAGGGAGAGGGACAAGCAGACTGTGCTGAGTGGGGAGCCCCATGCGGGGCTCAATCTCACAACCCTGAGATCATGACCTGAGTTGAAATCAAGAGTCTGATGCTTAACCTACTGGGCCACCCAGGCGCTCCAGAAAAGCCATTCTTAAACTCTGCTTTGCACAGAATAGGTGTACATTTAAAAAACCAATTAATGAATGATGTTGATTATATTTAAAGAATAAATGTCTAAGGAAAGAAGTTTCCCCCAACAGGAGCGATTATTAACTGAGTAAATTCATACTTTAGCATGAAGAGCAATGCCCTCACACAGGAGATGCTTGAGGAATGATCCTTTCCCTTGTTCCCATCCTGCCTTTTGTCAGGGATTTCCGCATTCTCCAAAGGAAAAAGCTTCAGGACAAAGGAAAAACCGTTGACGTAGGCTTTCAGACATCAGTCAGTGGGGAGAGGGTCTTCACCGCCTCGTCTAAGTACATCTGAGGTAGGGCCTCCAGTCTGCAGCAGACATTCTGTCAGCGAAGTCCAAGATGTCCTTCCTCTCTGTCTTCCCTTTCCTAGGACTCTACTCGGCAACAGTTAGGGACGAGTCCTCTTACGTAGCCAGAATAGCAGCAGATGGCCCCGGCAGTGGCGGTTGGATCCAGCCTCCTTTGGGAACTTCTTTTGGGACTCCTCAGGACCAGTCCCACCACACAATGCCCCTTTTCAGATAATGTCCAAAGTCCTACCTTTTCCAAACTCCTCTGAGTTCCTACATTACCAGTAACCGCCAGCAATAGCCCCCGTTCAGAGGTCTGAGTTGCAGCTCTCAGGGGCTCTCCTCTGAGCACCCCTTCTCCTTTGCTCCCCCAGCCCTAAGGGTAACAGCTGCTTTCTGTAGTTACTCTCTCTGGATAACCTCAGGGCTCCCTTTCTGCTCTCTCAGCCCTCTGACGCCCATTCGATTAATTCCCTCTATTAAATTCTCTTTGGTCAAGAAATACCTAACCTATTATATTTTTACCTAATTTGTTTTTAAATTCTGATCTGTAGGTTATTTCCTTTTTTCTATTAAAAAATGCTGCAATAAACATTTGTACATGCCTCTGGGTACACATATCTGAAATTTTTTCCTATAATATGGAGCCAGATAGGGTTGCTAGGACACAGGTATGAGAATCTTCAACTTTACTAGACAAAATTCATGCTCTGAACTTCAAAGAAGCGTTTTTATTTTCCATTTTGTTCATTACATTACATCTTCCCTTCCTCAGGGTATTACTAATGGCCCTGAGACCAAGAGGGAACTGTGTTGGCTTCTATTTCATAACATCCTGGAAGAAGGGTCTGAGATGGACCCGAGTTTGCTGATAAAGCTATATTAGATCCCTGGTCCTGTTTAACTTCGACAGTTGGTAGCATTAGATCTCTGAGGGCCAATGCTTCAGGGGGATGGAGCAGACGTCTCTCTTGATGAATCAATTGATTTACAAATATTTCCAGACACTTTTTATACTGGTTACTGACAAGATACCCTTTGTCCAGCTCTGTGTTGTTCCTTGCTGTCTAGCAGCTTTGGTACTTTCCAAGCTTGAGACACTGGGATCTTTGCCAGGCTGGGTTCCCCAGAGCCAAAGTGTCCAGTCCTCTCATCCAAGGTCCTGCCTCACCTCCCACCTCCCTGGAATTCTGCCAGGGAGCCTGCATCCATCCAAACCTGGAGGGGTGCTCACCAATATTTCCTTCCCTTCTTGTCTCAGGGACTTTCTGTTCTGAGAAACACATGCACAGACACACACACACACACACACACACTTCCATGAGCTTAGACTCCCACAAAAGGCACCAAGAGAAGTTGTCTCCTTGTCTCCCAGCATGGCTCCCTGTGGCTGAACCCGGTGCAGTGGGAGGGACGGCCTCCAGTGGGCAGCCACAGTGGCTGGGAGAACACAGACTTTATCTCAGGTTCCGAGACACTGAATAGGAATCCTGAAAACAGCCGGAGACTCAACCTCCCAACAATCTTGGCAGCTGGAAACTAACTAGATGAAACCAAATTCATTTATTCCTCAATGAAAACAATGTGATGTTTTCTGCACCCAAGGGGTTTCACAGGCTATCCCCTCTTCACCAGCGCCTGTTTTACTCACTGCCTTAGACACATATCCCAGAACTAAATCTCCCCTTTGATAAAATATGAAGAAGGAGTCATTCAATGTATTTTTAATCCACATCTCTATTTTTCCTGTGCAAATATAAACGTATGTATAATTAATAGTTAAGGCTTTTAAAATATATGCATTTTGAGAATACATTGCTAGTTACAATTTGTTGGTGGTATGAGCTTGGATCACATCTTCCTTTAATAGTCCTTTTAAATTCATTTTAGAAAGTTAAAATGGCTAAATGATCCATAATAAAAACCAGAAGAGACCCATATAAATCCAAAATACATACTTGAAAATGCAGCACCTTTTGTATGAACTACATTAGGGCCTAGTTATGGAGCATATGGATTATAACATCAGACCATAGAAACTTCAAAGTTCCTGAAGCAAAATGGGGCATTTTTTTTTCTGAGAAGAAAGAGGAAGCAGAAGAGGAGAAGTCGGAACAGAAGAGAAGAGAAGAGAAAGACAGAAGGAAGGAAGGTGGGGGGAGGGAGGGAGAGAGGGAGGAGGAAAAGGAAGGAGAAAGAGAAAAGAGAAGGAAACCTTCACATACGGCTTCTCTGTATCAGAAGAATGACTCACCTTTGGGTAATTTACAATGTGTATTTAAGTGAAGGATAGGCCCTTAAGGTTATAATTCACAATCATAGAGCCCAAATATAGAAATATCTTATACAATGATAATGGAATTCTATTTACTGGATAAAAAAAGTAAAAAGCGAGGTCCTGTCCTGCGCACACTTCCGCCTAGATGAGAGCTTTGCCGCTGGATATAATTCCAAGGGAGAGTGAGGCTTCCTCTTTGAGTGGAGAGGCAGTTTGCAAAGATACCGCCTCAAGGTCTGATCTTCTAAAAGTTCTAGTTGGCAGCTTTGCTTGACTAAGGACCCCCACCTCCAACCTGAAAGGCTCTCCCCTGAACATAACTCTCCCCCTCAAGCCAGAACAGGGGCAGCCTGTGGCTGAACCCGGTGCAGTGGGAGGGACGGCCTCCAGTGGGCAGCCACAGTGGCTGGGAGACTCAGGAACAAGGGGAGAGGCTGTCTTCAAACCCCTTTGGTGAATTAGAAGGAGATGTTTCTTTCCCTCATAGAGATGTTCTTTTCTGTGAAATCGATTCCGGGTTCACGGGGGCTGGATGGCAGGGGGTCTGGGTTTGCTTCAAAGGCTCGAAGTGACCTCAAATGGGGCGACTTGGCTTCATCCCTTATGCTTATCATAGCACGACCAAAGGCCAGGATTTCTAGAATCCCAAAGAGCACGCTAGGAGAAACGAGATTCAGAAATGTGCCCTAGACTGTCTCATGTAAGGTTGAATTTGAGATCCCAGGTTGTACTTCTAGCTTCTGTTACATCTCTCTTATCAGAAGGTGGTGGCGTGGGCTGTGCGAGGGGGTGGATGACTAAATAATCTTCCATTTACAAGAAAATAAAGTTCAAAAGTCTAAAAATTCCCCATGGATAAAAAAAATAAGGGTTCTGTGTGCACACTTTTGTATTCGTGGACTGGGGACACCTCACACTGTACCAAACCCTGCCCCATGCAAGTGTTCCATGGGGATATCACAATAACCTGCCACTTAACTGGGGCTGACATGATGAGACCCCTTCCTAAATGAGGAAACTGAGGCTCTCTCCCAGGGCCACATGGCCTACAAAGGGTAAGGAGAATGGGAATGCAACCTCACCGAGTCCTGGGCGGTTCAGCTGCGGCCACTGTGCATCACACCAACGGCTGACTCTGGGAAGGAGGACACGCACGGACCTCTGCCTTTCACTCTTGTTTGGTCTCTGTTTTCTCAGCCTCCCCAGGAGCATCCCCATCAGACAGAGGGTCACTCCCACAGATCTTCACCCGGCTTTCCAGGTGACTGAGACGCTGCTTCACTTTCATCTGGGTGGCATTATACTCAGCCAGGAGCCGTGCAAACCTGGTCTGCAGGGCATCCAGGGAGGACTCCAGGTGCTCCACCTTCTCCTCGATATCCTTGGGGTCCGCCCCGGCCTTGGCCATGTCCTCATCAATCAGGTTGTCCTTCATCAGGATCTGCCGTCCCTTCTCCTCCAGGACCTTCTTGGCTTCCGGGTATTCTGTGAGAGCCTCCATCAGATCATCCTTGGAAAGGCAGAACAGGTCTGAGTAGCCGATGCTCCTGATGTTGGCTGTCCTGCGGTTCCCTGACTTGCTCCCCTTGATGTTTAAGATGCTGATCTCCCCAAAGTAACTCCCATCACTGAGGACCACGAACTGGGTGATCCCATCATCAGCCACCACAGCCAGCTTGCCCTCTTTGATGATGTACATCTCCCTCCCGATGTCCCCCTTCTTGCAGATGTAATCCCCTGGGCTGAACACTGCTGGCCGCAGCTTGAGCACAAGCTCTACCAGCAGCCCTGCCTCACAGTCTTGGAAGATGCGGACCTTCTTCAGAGTGTCCAGGTGCACATTGATGGCGATCTCGGCCCTCAGTTTGTCTGGGAGACTCTTGAGCACCTCCTTCTCATCCACCGTCTTCTTGTTGGCCCACAGGTAGTCAAACCACCGGATTACCCGTGTCTCCAAGTCCTTGGTCACCTTGCGGAATTGCATGTACTGCTTAATAGAGTCAATCTTGGCCTGGAACTCGGCCCGTGAAGCATTCATGTTTGAGATCATGGAGCCCACATTGCCAACAATGGTGGCAAAAATCAGGACGCCCACTAGGAAGTCTATGACCACAAACAGATACTCCTCATCTTTCACAGGGGGTGGGGTCTCCCCGATGGTGGTCAGGGTCAAGGTGGACCAATAGAGACTGTAAATGTACTTCCTGGAAAGGCGTCCATACTCTGGGTTTGAGATGTTTGGATACACCCAGGAATCTGTCCCAAAACCAATGAACTTGGAAATGGCAAAGTAGATGCAGGCATTCCAGTGGATGATAATGAGGATGTACAAGACCAAGTTCCCGATCCTGAACAAATTGGGGTAGTTGGTCCTTGTCTCTGTGCGGTCGAAGAACTCAAAGAGCCGGGCAAACTTCAGTAGGCGGTTGAACCTCAGTTCTGGGTAGTTTATACCCAACTTAAAATAAGCCAGGTCTGTGGGGACCAGGGACAACATGTCCAGCTTGAAGTGCATGGTCTTTGTGTAATTCTTCCAAAGCCTCTGGGCATCCCTGACCATCAAGCCTTGCTCAAGGAAGCCTAAAGAAAAAGACAGAGGTCACTTGGGCATTAAAGAGACTGCTTTTTTTTTGACCGTGGCCCACAGGAAAATATTTTACACTGTAACTAAAGACGTAGTTATACATACATGACAGAAACAATTTCAAAAACCACATTTACCTCTTACTACAAAAATGCACTCTGATATTTTCTCATCTATGATATTCTGACCTATTTTATTCAGTTAAAAATGTAGATTAATTGGCTAAATTTGAATGTGGGCTGCTGTTAGATGATAGCAAGGAATGATTATTAAATTTTAAAAGATAAATGGATGTGTTAAATATATATATTTAAGTTTATTTTTGTAATCTCTACACCCAATGTGGGGCTTGAACCCACCACGACCCCAAGATCAAGAGCCTCATGCTCTTCTGACTGAGTCAGCCAGGAGCCCCTGGACATTATATTTTTAAAATGCGTCCTTTAAAGTTAGAGATACATGTTAAAGTGGTTACTGTCTGAGACTGGCTTTAAAATACTCCAGCCAAGAAAAGGGTGTCAGGGGAAGAGATGAAACAGCAAAATGTTGGTAACTGCTGAAGCTGGGTGAAGGTACATGGGGATTCATAATACTACTGTCTCTGATTTTGTATTTGTTTGAAAATATTAATGATAAAAATTGTAGAAGCACATGGCCTATCAAACTGATTTCACCAGCCACCAATGGACCATGACCTGCTTTTTAAAAACATTGCCTATGGAAGCAGTAGCTCTCCTTTCTGGCTGCACATTACTGTCATCCCAAGAGCTCTGAAAACATATGCAGCATCAGACTGGTCTGGAGCTGAGCTGGACATCGGAGAGTCATGAGGCGTTATTACTGGTAAAATCAGTCAAGTAGGCTGAGATTTGCATTCTTCTTCTTCTTCTTTTTTTTCTAAACATTTTCAAACATGCACAAAAGTAGAGAGAATGATATGATGAATGTCTTTTAGAGTTTGGTAAGCATCAGACTCATACTGAGGGTTCTGTGAAACCCAGAGTCTGGGCCATCCCCACTGCTGGTTCCAGAGGTCTGGGGTCTACTTCTAACAAGTCTGGATGACGCTGCTGCTGATCCAGGGTCACACTTGGAGGGCTAGATGGAGGCAGGACTACCCCCTTTGTGAAAAGCAAGCATCAAGTTTGTGATCACATGGTAGGGACACCCTGCCTCCCACGCCCTAATTTTCTGTTTCATTCTTTGGTTACCATTGTGTTTATTGAGCCCCTAGATCATTCCACAGCACTCCTAGCACCTTGGGACTCCTCCCTACTTCCTTAATAATGTCCTCTCTTGATTCTGGAGATTTTTTCCCTTTCAAGTATGACCCATGGCCACTTGGTTTCTGTGCCTACCTGCCTTCCCCCCCGAGGCTCCCTGCTGATCTTAGATTACCAGTGATAGTACCAAAGCACAGACAGGGGTGGGACACCTGTCTGAGTGGGGGTGACTTGTCCCACTGAAGCTTGGTTGAAACAGGAATAGCTGGCTCAATGACTCAGGCCACCCATGGAGCTCTCGTGTCAAGGTGGGCTTATGTGACCACGAAGTGGCAGACCACCAGGACTAAGTTACTCAGGCAAGCCTCAAGCTGCATATTTGAGGTCTTCTTCTTCTTTTTAAAAGATATATTTATTTATTTAAGAGAGAGTGCACATGGGCAGGGGGAGCAACAGAGGGAGAGGGAGACAAGAAGACTCCCTGCTGAGCGGGAAGCAAGACAGAGCTTGATCCCAGGGCCCTGAGATCATGACCTGAGCCGAAATCAAGAGTCGGATGCTTAACTGACTGAGCCACCCAGGCGCCCCAGAGGTCTTCTAACTTATGATGCGGGGCACTGTGGAGATGCAGGGAGTGCCAGTGGGGCACTTTGGGCCAGGCACTCAGCATCTCTGGGCCTCAGTTTCTAAATCAGCAAGATGGAGATAATCATGCCTGCACTTCCTGTCTCATGCAGCAGTTCTCATGAGAAACCAAGAGGTGCTTGAAATGCTTTGCATACCAAGAAGCCACAGGGAGGCTTGCTGCTGTGATGTGGTGTTTCTATTGGCAACTATGGCATGGCTTTCAGCTCAAAAACCTTGAAAGTGACGAGCCGGGCCCCTGCCAGCTGATGTGATGTCTTCGTGCAGATTAGAAAAAGATTTTTCTAATTTTCTAAGCTTGGACCCTCAGACAAGGGGGGCTCTTAGCCCCCACTCACACCCAGAGGTGATCTGAGGGAACTCATCCTCCACTCGGGCCCTGTTTCTGATTTCATTCCTCCATACATCTAAAACCACGGAGTAACATGTCTTGGATCCTCCGACTGTCTGGGAAAAGGAACTCCAAGATTGATGGAGCTCTCCCTCCTGTTTCCTGCCATATTGAACTGTCACTGCAGGAGGGGTCCTTTGAGAGATGACAGTTTGGCCTTATTTCACAGGTGATACAAATGAGGCCCAGAGAGACAACTCGACTTGCTCAAGGTCCCATAGCTCGTTGGGACAGCAGAGACCAGAACCCAGACACCCTGACCTCTGCTAAGGGCCCACTGTAGAGGAGCTTGAGCAGCACCATGCCCTCACTTTTGGGGCTTCCCCAGACCTACCTGGGCTCTCGTGGTCACGGGGAGGTGATGCCCACTATTCTGGAACTCCTGAACCTGCCCTGTGGTCCCCGTGGTCCCCCTCCTGATGCACGAGGGGGGCCTGTGGCCTGGCCCAGACAAGTCCCTGGGCCTGGACCTGCTCACCTGTCCGGGCTCGCACCAGCACATCCAAGCCATAGAGGACGTCTGCCGAGTAGTCCAGGACGAGCCACAGCATCACGTGCTCAGACTGCAGGTCATCGAAACAGGCCCTAAGCAAGCGAGGGAAGGAGTGCGCACATCGGGGGGCTGGTCCGAAGCAGGCACCAGCTCCGGGCTGAACACCGTGGCGTTCATCTTGGTATCAGCCCTGCCTGCAGGGTTTGTGCCCCAGCATTATCTCCCCAGGCTCTGAGGAGGAGACCCAGCTCTGAGAAGCTTTTCTGCCCCAAAGAGTGAGCCTTGTGGCCTCTCAACAGTAAGCTCCGGGATGCCAGCAGGGACAGTTCTAGGCCTCACTGGTGGAGTCCTGTGCGGAGACAGAGCACTTGCCCGTTCTGGGGCCAAATGCCAACAAAACTAGAGGAATTTCTCAGAAATTAACAACGGAACAAGCCAGTAAATATTTTCTGCTTTCTAGATCCTTAGGCTCACTATGTCTCATACAGACAGTATCCCCTAAATACCCCTCTTCACCTCAAAAGAGCAGCAGCTGGGACCTATGTCCCCACCCTGCAGCTCCTCAGCAACCTGAACCCCCTGATGCCTCCTCAGAATGGCAGCTTGCCTGCAGCCCCAGCACCCCCACTCACAAGAAGCAGCTTGCCCACTTATCCCCATCCTGCAGGTGGGCTAGCAGCGGCCCCAAGTTCTCCCCCTTCTCACGCCCACACTTCCCCTCAGAAGAGCAGGAGATGCCCCCACCTTGCTCAGATAACCCCCAAAGCCCCCACTTACACTCAGATAGTAGCATGTCTCCTCCCCATCCCCAAGAAGCAGCAGCTGTCTGTCTTGCAGGCTTGCTCAGGATTGTCGCAGAGTCCCCTTGCCTTCCCCGCACCTCCTCAATCCACCCTCAGAAGAGCAGCAGCTCAGCCCACATCCTTGTCCTGCAGGCCTGCTGGGAAGGGCCCTGAACCCCGTCACTTACTCTCAGGGAGTAGCAGCTCCCCCCTTAGCCTGCCCTGAAGCTTGCTTGGAAAAGCCCCACAGCCTCTTGTGTACTTCCAGAAGAACAGTGCCTTGCCCCCTTGTCCTCCAACTGCTTGCTCAGGAGCTTCCCCAAACCCCTGCCCCCTCAGAAGGGTAGCCTCTCCCTCCCCCTCCGGAGCGCCCAAAGCCTCAGCTGCCAAGGGAAGGCCCATGCTCACCCCTGCAGGCCTGTCTCATGAGCTGGCGCAGCAAAGCCCAGCACTCAGGAAACATGCCCTCCTGTCCCTGCATCCTTGTCCGGCACCTCACTCAGATAGGCCACACAGACTCCCACCAACGCCATCAGAGGAGAGACAAGGTATCCCTACCTCTCTGTCCTACAGACTTTCTCAGAAATGCCCCAAAGCCTCTGCTTGTCCACAGACAGCAGCAGCCGGCCCTGCCTCCCTGGCCTGCAGCTTGCCCAGGGATGCTCAGAGGTCCTGTTTGCCCTCAGGAGAACATAGCCCCTTGGCACCCCCCATCCTGTACACTTGCTCAGGGAGCCCAGACCCCCAGCCTACCTTCAGAAGAGCAGCATCCTGCCCCTGTATTGCCATACAGCAGATTTCCTAGGAGACCCTAAAACCTCCCTCCCCTGATCCCTTATTAGAAGAGTTAGCAGCTCACCCTGCACCTGCCTCCTACAGCTTGCTTAGGAAAGTTCCAGAGCCTCCAGCTCTCCCCAGAAGAGCAACAGCTTGCCTTGCATCCCAAAAGTACATTTGCGGGGAACTTCCCGAAGCCCACATCTACCCTCGCCCTGCATTCCTGTCCCGCAGGCCTTCTCAGGAGCACCCCAAAGGCCCCGACTGCCCTCACAAGGGCAGCAGCTTACACCCCAGCACTGCAACTTGCCTGGGGAGGCCCACAGCCCACAGCTTACAGAGAACTGTGCCCTTCCCTGTGTCCTTGTCCTGTTGGCTGCTCAGGAATGCCCAACCCCCACCCATTTCCCCTCAGAAGAGTAGCTACTCGCCCCTGCATCTTCCTCCTACAGCTGGATTAAGAATGTTCGACAGGACCCTTGCTGTCCGTTACAAGCACAAGTCCTCACCGGTGCTTCAGAGAACTCTGATGGTGCTCTTTTAGATCCTCCTCATTGATGGAGAAGTGGGTACACTCAGTTGGATGGTGGCCACGTGGGGCCCAGAAATCCAGTCCCCTGAGTGGGACCCAGAGCTCTGTCTTGAGGCCTGACTGCCCTCGCCCTTCCTGGCCCCGCCACCCTCACCCCTCCTTGTGTGGATACCCTGCCCCCACCCCTACCTGCACACCAGCAGACACCAGTTATAGAAGACAGGCAGGGCAATGACAGTCAACCAGCGGTAGTACATATTGCTGGAGGGGTCCACCACCACGCTGTCCTTGTTTCTGGAAACATCGACACACAAACAATGCAGCGTGTTGAAAGATCGCATCATTGGACAGTCTTCAAGATTCAGCTTAGCTTACAGACCCTATGGCAACTGCAGGCTAAACTCAAGAGACACGTCCTGTCAGTCTCGGGGAGTCACACGGGGTATCCCTACATGGGGGGACAGGCTGGGAGAGGGCAGACTCTGGAGGTCCTTCCCTCCTAGTTCAGCTCCCCAGGGAGCCACAGCTGACAATAAAATTATGGTGATGACATTCCCATGTGCCCATGGTATCACCCATGTCCTTCAGCATGCTGGGAACCAAATGCAGCATGGTAATGTTGGAACCATCTGGGGGAGCTCTGTGAAAACGCTGATTCCCAGGGCCCACCCAGAACCCTCCAGGGCTGGGGCTGGAGATGTGCTTTTATACACTGCCCAGTGGTTCTGAAGCAGTGCATTTGGGCAGATGGTCTGAAGACTCATGTCCAGGCGCTTGGATCCTGTCTCTCCATCAAAAACCAGCTAGCCTGGGAATCATCTAGGTTATGTGGGCCAACACTGAAGGAAGCAACAGCTTAGGGTGCTTTCTGTTTTTATTTTCAGGATTTTCTGAGGATTAGAGTTTAGAGGTGGTACTGGAGATTCTTCTTTTTCTTTGGGGCCATGTGTCTTCTCTCCCACCCCATATGCCCCACAAGCTGGCCTAGGCCTGCAGAGCTGCTCCCATGCCCCGGAGGAGACCCTGGGATATCTTTCTGCCTTTGCCTTGACTCAGCGGGTGCAAGATCAACAGCTCACTGACAGGGCTTTGGAACGTTCCCAGTGCACATCACCACTGGGTTTGGAGTGAAGTTTGAGAATATAGTATTTCCTAGTGCCCAGGAGTAGGCCTCAGCTTACCCCGACTGTGCAGACAGGCAGAGAGAATGTGGGGTGGGGGGTGCACAGGAGCAGGCTCACAAGGACAGCCCCTAGTTGCTCACTCAAGGCTGCAGACAGCCCTCTGAACCTATAAGCCCCCTCTGGGTGCTCAGAGCTGGGGCAGGACTCTCCCTGCAGAGTGGGCCCCTCACACGGTCTCAGGAAGCCTGATCCCCACCTGGGACCAACTCTGCTCCCGCAGCACTAAGCAGCCCCTCTCCAGGGCTGACGCCAAGGCCTGATGATGAGGTTCTCAGACTTCCAGGACCCAGGGAGGGGCCAGGCCTGCTGTGACCTCTGCACCCCTTCATTGGAGGCAGCTCTTCTCAGTACTTACTCCTCTTGTTTTGAGCAGTTTTTCTCTTTCTCTTTCTCTTTCTCTTCCTCTTTCTCCTTCTCCTCCTTTTTCGCCTTGTCACTGGATGATACAGGGGGACATTTAGCAATTTTCATAGGCCAAGGACACTATTACCACAGTGGAGAAGGTGGGCAACAGTCACAAGGAGGAGAGGGCATGGTGTAGGAAATGGATAGGTCTAGCACCCTGGGATGAAACGAGGTCACTGATTTTATTGCTTGGTGGTTTAAGGTAAACCACCCCTTTAAAGCGTATATTGTATACGTTAAAGTATACATAGTCGTCCAGTTTAATGTTCTACAATTTCTGACCGACTTTCACGAGCCCCTAGGAAGTCACAAAGAGCTTGCGACCAGAGACATTTTGAGGTAAAGGGAAATGAACCCACATCCACTCCGGAAAAGTCATTCGGAGTTTCGGAAGTCACATGTTCTGAAGGGAAGGGCATGGCTTGTTGGCTGGTCTCAAAACCCACCTGTGTATCAAATGAAAGCCTGGCCCTCAATGAGGAAGCCAGGGAAGGAGAAGGGAAGCAAAATACACACAGGCAGGAACAGGTCTGCCATCGAATGGCAAATCTTAGAGTCGTCTGAGGAAAATGCCGCCATGTTCGGACACTTATCTAGACATTGCTGGACGGTGAGGCTGGGGGCTGCATAGCCCCCACCCACCTACATCTGCAGGGAAGTCCTGTGAGGGCAGATGTCTCCTCAACACATGGCTTGACTCTGCTTCCTCTTTACGGCACATCTTTATGCGTTAGCACTATTATAAACCTTGTCTGTTAATAGTTACACGAGTTCTGCAAGGCAGGCTTTATTGCTCATGGAAGGGTTGAGGAAACCAAGTGGAAAGGTAATAGACCCTGCCTGCCTCCGGGGAACCCACCAGAATCATCCACAGGCCCCTCTGATCCCCCTATTCCGCATCCTGGAGGAAGGCCCCGGTTGAGAATAAGCACCTGTTAATTAAACACTCATTGGAAAAGACCAATATACTTTACACAGCACTTCCTAAGGAAGTAATCAAGGATGGGTGCAAACATGCATACAGAAAAGTAACAACCACCATTATTTCTAACAGTCAAAAGCATAAGCAATCTAATCCTGCAACAGGAGGAGATTCGTCAACACTGGAATTCTATGAGGCCCCTCAAAATGACATTGCCCAGAACCACTGGGCAGTATTTGGTGACACGGGAAAACATTTCTAATATTTTTCCAAGTTAAAAGCAGACTGCAATAAAAGCTCAGAATAATAGCTGCATGAGCTTTCTATTGCTGCCAGAACAAACCATCACCAGTTATGGCTTAAAACAACCCAAACCGCAGATCTGTAGGTCAGAAGTCTGGTATGGGTCTCCCCGTAGTGGACTTGAGGTGTGGGCAGGGCTGTGATCCTTTCTGAGGATTCCAGGAGAGAAGCTGTTTCCTGCTCATTTGGATTGTTGGTGGAATTTAATTCCTTGCAAATAGAGGACCAAGATCCTCTTTTTCTTGCTGGCTGTAAGCCGAGGGCATTCCCAGCTTTTAGAGGCTGTTGCAATCTTGGTTCACAGCATCCTTCTTCTATGGTCAAAGCCAGCAACAGCAGGTAGAGTCCTTCTCCAGATGCCATCTCTCTGGTTCTCTGCAGCTGGAAAGATTCTCCACTTTTAAGGATGCATGTGATTAGACCAGGCCCACCTTGATAATCCAGGATAATCTCCCCATCTCAGGGCCCTGAAATCTAATCACATCTGCAAAGTCCCTTTTGCTGTGTGAGGTAATGTAGTCATAGGAGGTGAGGATTAAGGCATGGACATTTGGGGGAGTCATGGTGCCACCTACCCCAGTCTGTCCCTCAGCCCTCAAACATTTACATCCATCCAATGGGCTAAATGCATTTACCCTCATTCCAAGACCCCCCAAAATTTCATCCCATTAAAGCATCAACTCAGAGTCCAAAAGTCTCATCAGCTCAAAAGTCCCAAATCTTATCATCTAAACCAGGTAGGGGTGAGACTCTGGGTGTGAGTCGCTCTACTTGTGAACCTGTGAAACTAAAACAAATCATCTGCTCCAAAGATACCATGAGAGGGCAGGTATAGGATATCAGTTATAGATATTCTAGTTCAAAAAGGGAGAAGAACAAAGGACAAGAGAGTGACTGGTCCCAAGCAATTTTGAAATCCAGCAGGGCAACAGCCATTCTGTCTCAAGGCCTGAGATAAATCCTCTGTGGTTTTCATGCCTCTGGGCTCAAGGCTCTGCCCTTCAAGCTATCCTTTCTTCCTCCTTAAAGGGAGCACCTGTCTGTTTGTAGCTGAATATTCTAATCAACCTGTTTCCTGCCTCTAGGATTTAGTGGTCCCACAGTCTCCCTCCATTTTATGCTGTTTCTGCCCCTTCAGGTCCAAGCTGGCCATGTTTCAGCTGGCAGAAAATCTTCCAGAACATTCCAGGTCATGTGTATCAGAGGGATTCACTGTGCTAGACAAGTGGCTCATCCACAGATCTGTCTGAGAAATCCCTTCTCTATCTTTGGCTTCTGCTGGGATGGCAGAGGGAAGCTGAGTCACACCCTTCATCTCTTCAGGGAGTCTTTTGTTGAATTCAGAACTTTGGATCTTTCTGAGGTATTAGCAAAAGGTTGTTCAGCGACACCCTCGACGTTTTCGCAAAGCATGCTTTCCTGACAGTTTTTAAAATTTAGTATCTTTTCCATGTGAGTAGGCTGAGGATTTCCAAATTCCTGAAGTCCTGTTTCCTTCTTGTTTACCATTCTTCCCTCAACGTATCTCTCTCCTCTTGGGTTTTACCATAAGCAGCAAGAAGACACCAGGCTGGACCTTCAACACCTTTGGTTGGAAATACCCACTAAATATTCAAGTTCATTGCCTACAAGTTCTGCTTTCCACCCTTCCTGCAGGACATAATTGCACTAAGCTTTCTGCCACCGTAAAGCAAGAATTCCCCTTTCTCCAGTTTCCAATAGCCTGCTCCTCAGTTTTTTGCGAGTCCTCACCAGCAGCATCCTTAAAGCCCTGGATCCCTACTAATAGTCTGTTTACAACCATTCAAGCAACAAGGTTGCTTCTGAGCCCTCATCAGCAGAGTCTTTAATGTCCTTATTTCTACCAACAACCTATTCAAACAGTCTAGGGGTTTTTTTTGTGTTTTTTTTGTTATGCTCCTCAGAATTCTTCTGGAGTCTTCTCCGAAGCCACTCCCACATTGTTTGGTATTTGTTTCAGGAGTAGCCCCCTCCTGGTATCAAAAGCTTGCATTACTAGCTTTCTATTGCTGCCATAACAAATCACCGAGAACGTAGAGGCTTAAAACAAGCCACATGTGTTATATTATAGTTCTGTAGATCAGAAGTCTGGTACAAGTCTGATGGGACAAAAATCAAGGGGCAGGCAAGCTGCGTTTCTTTCTGGAGGTCCTGGGGGAGAATGTGTTTCCTGCTCAATGGGGTTGTTGGCAGCGTGTTCCATTCCTTGAAGCTGTAGGACCAAAGTCCCTGTGTTCTTGCTGCTGAAAATGGAGGGGGCTATTCCCAGCTTTGTGAGGCTGCTGTATGCCTCACCTGGTGTCCCCCTTTCTCCTTCTTCAAAGCCAGCAATTGCTGGTTGGGTCCTTCTCACATTGAAAATCCCTCTTGTTCCTCCTTCCATCTCATCTCGCGGACCCACTCTTCTTCTCCCCTTTCTGCTTTTAAGGACTCACGTGATTATATTGGGCTTGTTTGGTAATCCAGGATAATCTCCAAGGTCTTCAAATTTAATCACACTTGCAAAGTCCCCTTTGCCATATAAGGTAATCTTGCCACAGGTTCCAGAGATTAGGATGTAGCCATCTTTAGGGAGGTGGTACTGAAATTGTTCTGCTTACCTCGCTAGTCAGTATTTATTGGGCACTTACTATGTACCAGGTACTGTTCTAATCATTGTACATGTATTCACATATTTAGTCTTCACACAACCCTGCAAGTAAGACATTAATACAAACCCTATTTTACAAGTCAGGAAACATGCACAGAGAGGTCAGGTAACTTGCCCAAGGTCACAAAGCTCTTTGTGGCTGAATTGGGATACAAATGCACTTAACCAGCATATATGTATGATAATACATACAGAGAGAGATGATATATATTGATCGCAATATATATATCTATATATCATATATATAATTATGTGTAATTATAATAATAAAATAATAATTATTATACAGGATATATAATAATTATAATATAGTATATACCAGTATATACATCATATATTTTTATATAATATATTCATTCTATCTATCTATCTATCTATCTATTCAGTATATATAGAAAAACTTGGAAGGATATTTCCCAACATGTTAAGAGGGGTTATCTCCGATAATGGGATTCCACTACTAAAACGAAGTATATTTTTTGAGGGTATATGCTCATGGGTGCTTTTCTGTGTTTTCCAAGTTTTTTAAAGTGAGTGCATGAATAAATTGAATAAAAATAAAAAATTATTAAACTTATTAAATGAGAGGAGCAAGGACAGTCACCCATCTTCTGTCCTCTTGAATCAACCATGCAGTGTCCCTTGAAGGGTTTTCTGCCACTGAAGTCTTAATGTCAAGGCACCAGCAGAGGGCGCTGCCCACAAGCTTATCAGGCACGCTTAGACCCGCTGGGAGTTTAATTACACCAAGCCAGGATGTGTGGCTGGGGGTTACAGGCCTTGGTCTTTCCCCTAGTTATCAACCTGCTGTGGGCCTATGGAAGACCCAGCGCCATCCAGCTGCATCTCTGAATCCACCCAGCACTGCCCTGAAAGACCTATACAGAGCCGCAAAACAACGCCAGTTTGGGCTGGGAGCAGTTTGCTCCGGGAGAGAGAAAAATGATTCAGGACCCATGGGACGAAGTGAAAATACCAGAAACGTGGTGGAAGAATGGGGAAGGACGTCCGTAAGAGTTATTTCTGTAACTCTGTGCCCAGATGGTCACATTTTGGGACAGTCCCCAATTTTGTCCTTGATCCTTGGACTGCAGTGTGGATCCAGGATTCGAACCCATCTGAAAAGATGTATAAGAGCCTGATGCAGCCAACAGTATCCCCCTCCATCCTCGCCTACATCCCAGCCCCAGAACAGAGAAGGCTAGAGACCCGCAGGACCTCTGTCCATGCTTTCCAGTGCCCTGAGCCTTTCTCAGACTGCGGGACCCAACACCAGGGTTTCAAAGGTGTTTCATATCAAGCTTGGCTTTAGATCAAGCACATATCACAATAGCTGCTGTTTTGCAGATTAAATAATTTCATTTATCTTGACTGCTGGCATTTGAGTCTCGGGATTGGATATCGATATTTATGCAAACAAAATGCAACTAAGTTTCATGGAGGGCAATGGGAAAAACTTCTTTCCAAGGAACAAAGGGAAATAAGAAAAAGTCTTGGCACATTTCTCTTTCAAATGGAAGTCAGGAAATTCAGATTTCTTGCTGATATTGATGGTTTTTTCCCTAAGCCCCAACTGAGACTTCCTCCCGTGCCTACCCCCATGGTACTCCATAAAGAAGGCTGGAGAATGTGCACACACACACACACACACACATGTGCTAACACGCGTGTATGATCACACACATGCACACACCCTCCCTGGACGCTTGAGTGGCCCTTGCCAGAATCATACCTCAAACTGATCTGCCAGCTCAACATCTGGTGATAAAAATTACAGCAGGTCAACATTTCAAGAGGCTAGTCTCTGGAAATATTTAATTTTCCTCTTCCCACTGTCCTGATCACACCCTCCAAATTGGCCTGGATTGGTCTTAGGACAAGGGCATTTCACTGGGGCCCCCAGGAGCTTGAGGTTGTAGAAAGGAAAATGCATTCTCATCATGAAGGAGAATATGCACAGCTCTGTAAAGGAACTCAGAGTTTGCACCCTCAAATACATAGCGAAAGAAGATGTCAAGGCTTAAAACATTTATGCAATTCAAACCCTTTGCATTATAGATGAGAAAAATGAGGGGAAGAGAGAACATGACTTGCTCCAAGAAGTCATATGGACCAGGTCCCTTCACCATTTGTCCACAGGGATGGTATTTGGATGAAAGGAACGGGATTCTAGTCTAGTGGTGTCCCAGGAAGCAGACATGTTTGAGCAGGGAGGCGGAGCTGGGGCATCTACCGGAAGGAAGGTGGCCGGTGGGACCAGGGAAAGTGAGGGGGCTCTGCTGGGGAGCAGAGGTACTCACTCCTCTGAGTTGTTGCAGGCGTTGGTGTTGTTTCTGGCCAGGGGCCAGCCACTGCAGGGAAGTAAACAGAATGCAGCATAGGAATCTGAGCTCAGTTCCAACTGCTGGGGATCATTCGCCCCAGGTGGTTATCCCGGTACCCCATCCCCTGTGCCCTGGGCCTTTCCACGCAGCTTGAAGCATCCAGAACAAACATTTCTTGTGACTGGTTAGCTGTAGTAAACCTTGTGGGAAGAGAGGATGAACTTTTGGCTAAACTGAGTCTTCTGAATAAATGAGAGTTGCTATGTGAATCCCACCCAATCCCGGCCTCGCGTTCCACTCAATTTCATTCAGTTTAAACCATGTGCCGGGCAGTGTGCCAGGAGCTATGAGGGGCACAGACATGAAGCCGAGGTGCACCTGCCCTCACGGGTGCACTCAGATGAAGCGGGCTGAGCACCTTCAGCAGCCGCAGCAACCTGCTCCCCTCATCTGCGCAGTCAGGGCTCTCAGAAGGCGCCCTCCCTCCACCTTGAAAACGCAATCACAGCAGCTGCATCTGACTTGACTTGCAGGGCAGAAAAGAGACCGTGGACAGAACTGTCCCAGTTTTGAGTCTATCTTGCCCTGGGCCTTTGTCCCCACATTAATCTTAACACTCCGGGCCCACCACCCTGGTCTCTGTAAGAACTGGGGAGAGAGTGGAGGCCGGTTGGGCACCCAACTGCACGTCTATTTAAAGCTGAATCGCGCGGTCCTCTTTCACGGTGCTCTCTAGGAAAGGGCATCATCTCCTAGGGCTCAGTTGCTAATACATGTGTTGTTGACACAGCTAGTTTAATAAAGCCAGCGTGGCCTCAAGCTGCCTGTCTATCGTCACTGCAGACCATTCACAGAGGACGGCCAGGACCAAAGCCACTGGCTGGTGATACTCCTACCTGGCTCTCAGGGAGCCTCTTCTATGATGCTAAACATCGAGCCAAATGCCATTCTGGTACTTCTGCTCACCCCTGCTCAAGTCTCCCTCCTTCTCACCATCCAGGATGTGGCTCTAACTGTTTTGGGAGAGGTTCTGATCATCAGAAAGTGCCCCGAGGATTTTCCCAACCCTTGTGAAATTGGGAAAGAAAGTGTAGCTCCCTGCGATATAGTGGTCTGTGTTTACCACATCTCTGTCTGGGGTCTCTGAAGGCCAAACCAACAGAATGACCAAGACCTGTCTTTGCATACATTCTGCTTTGCCAGTGGGATTTGCCTGGAAAAATCCCAAGTCTTCCTCCTTCAGGAAGCCTCCCTGATTGATCAGCCACCATCCTGTACCATCGCATGCACCTACCCACTCTGAACCCTCAGGTGAGTGACCAGGCGTCTGAGGTACAGTTGGGACCTGACCCTGATGGGGTCCTAGCTCAACCCTCTGCTCATCTGGTCACATTGGGAAATGGACAAAGAGGCCAATGTTCATCTTCATTAGGCTAAGTTTGTAGAGAAGATAATTTGATCACGTTAGCAAAGAAGTCTTTGCTTGCCCACCAGGAACTGAAGCAGTCTGGCTGGCTCAGTAGCAAACCTCTCTCCCCTCCTCCTCCTCTGGCTTCTCTTCTTCCTTATCTGCCATCCCTCCTTCCTTTCTGGCTCAGCAGCCAACAGCACACAGGCCTTATAGTCATGGAGCCCCCTCTCGGTCTAGGATGCCTGGCCCTGGGAACCTGGGATGGCCCTGCACACATCCCCACCAGCACCCGGGCCCTCTGTGGTCCCTTCCCAAGCCCAGAAAGCCTGAGGGTTTGTGGTCCAAGCCCAGGTGAAAATGTGAGCCCAAAAATGCCAGGCCTTTGCATCTCAGCCAGCAATTCTCATGCCTTTCCCAGCAGGGAGACTAAATGTTCCTCTCCTAGAGTGGTTGCTAGCAAGAAATTTCCTTGAACTCTCATATTTTATCTTAAATATGCTTGTATATTTTGCAATCTACTGCATAATCTACAATAAGCCTACAACACAAACATACAAACATGGAAGCAAAATGGAAGCACCCGGAAGATCCATCCTGCTTCCTCTGAGGCTGCATGACCTTCCCTCCCCAGGGGCCCTTGGATGCCTGTTTGAGCCACTCACACCTGAGCCCTTCTTCTGCTCATTTGACACAAAAACACGAAGGATTTTCTCTAGCAATTATATAAGGACCACCTGTTCTGCAACAACCATGCTTGTTTTCACCTTTCCATCTTATAAATCTTGGCCTTACCTAGAGAATTCAGCCAAAATATCTTTCTAAGCCCCCTTTTTCAGAAAGCAGATTCTGAGCAAGAGGCTTCCTGTTTGAGAGGCTCAGAGGTGATCAGCTTCCCCCTCCATATCTTACCTCTCTTCCTCTCCGACTGCCTAGAGGGTCCTAAAGAGACTTCTGTTGCTCAGTGTCACTGGATTCAACCTGTGGTGGCCCAGTGGTCTCCCTGCTGACCACAGGCTGAGGAGACTTCCCAAGAACAAGAGAGGAGATGAGGCAGCAGCTCTGTGTGTGGGATGTGTGTATGGGGGGGTGTAAGTCAGCACCTGCAGATTTCTCTCAAATGTCTGCAACAGCCACAGCCCCCAGTCAGGTGGTGGGCCATGCATGAAGATACTCAGAGCCCTTGTTCTGCAGACCCTTCTCCTACCAAAAAGCCAACACTCTCCCCATGCCCCACCCTACCCCACCTACACTCCCCACCCCCATAGTTCCTATCCTGATCTGGGATACGGATGGCTCCTCTTGAACATTCTGACCAACCTTCAGACCTTCCTCCCAGAAGATTGTATGTAAACCTATGCATAAAATTGTGGGTACCATTTAGGTACTCCCTAGGCTTATCGGTTAAAGTCCCTGGTTTTTAGTAAGGTAGGTCACAGTGCAATCTAGGATGAGGGTCCTTTGATGGAGAGAGATGGGTGAGGCCAGCATCCCCAGATGCATTTGAGAGCATCAATTCCAGGGGCGCTGATGGAAACTCTGTGCAGGATCAAAGGAGGCTGAGAACCCTGGTTAGAGGGTTTCTTCTCCTGCAGTCCTTCTTGCACTCAGGGCAGTGACTGTTAGAGCATGCAGTACTCCCCCACCCCAGACACCTTCTTCAAGGCCCAGGTCACGGGGCTGATGCTCCAGGCCACTCACACAGTGGATCTAAGTTGCAGGAGCAAAGCATGCTTCCTGCCCCACCCCCACCTGGTGCAGGTGGCTCATCCCTTTGGTTCCTTACCTTCTCCCTCTCTCTGGTGGCTCCTGGCTGCCCACATTTGACTGGGCATTGCTTTCTTGGCTGGACACCTCCTTGAGCTCAGCTCCACGGAAACGCTCCAGGAAGGAGTCTGTTCTCTGGGCCTCATGGTGTAAGTGCCTGGTAGTCCAGGCTCGCAGTGAGATGATTAGGCGAGACATCCTGGAAGGACATGGACAGGCAGCCAGTGCAGAGAGGAAGGAGACGGAAAGCCCTCTTTTCCAGGGCTGGGGCGGAAGTAGAGATGACTGGCAGGACATGGGTCCTGGGGGCCCTGGGCTCAGGTGTGCATCTCTACTCCACTGGGGCCTTATTCCCTTCTCCTCCAGAACCTGCCATCTGGGACAGAGCTTTCTAGATAAGGGGCATTGTCTTCATTATAACTTTGTCCTTTTAACACTTGGACTCTGCCAAAGGCATGATCCTTCAAATGGGGCATTAGCAGCTTTTCTGCTTATCATTCCTTTTGTAGAGCTCTTTGTTATGACTGGTAAGCATAGGAATAGAAAAGAATCAAATCTGCAAAGGGAGATAAAATTTAGAACAAGGTTTAAAGGAACAAGTGCCCAGATACAACTTAGATTATTTTCCTAACCCTTGTCTTATTGTTTGTTATACACACTCTTGTTTCCTCTCCAGGCTTGTACACAAGTTCCTTGGCAAGTTGCGCTGACCCATCTCCTGGAGCCAGACCCTGCGGGGGCCGCAAGCACCTGAGACCGGTCAGCCCATGTCCCCAGAGCCCATCTTAGCTCCAGCTTTCCATGAAAAGCCTTCCCTCAGCCCTGCCTCCTGCCTTCCCTGTCTCTTCCAAGGGAAATGAGAAGAGAGCCTGACCTCTGCTTCTCAGTTTCTGGTTGTCCTGACTTGGTACCTACGGTGCATGCCACTGTTCTCAATCAAATAAGTTCTGAGCAGTCTAGAATGAGGTCATGGGCTGTCGCGTGCTTTGGCCCTAATCACACACTTGGGAACTTTGCCTAAGAGAGTAAGTTAAAGCAAGAAGACATTCCACACACAGAGATGTTGACAGCCGCTGCTGCAGACAGATGCGGAGGTGCCTGCGTGGCCCAGCCTCTCTGCTCTGGACACTCCTCCCGCCCCCACCCTCCCGCTGCCGAGGGGCTGGAAGCAAGGTCACGCTCCGCACTCCAGCTTCAGCCCACAGGCCCGGGAATGGACAAGACACCCACAGAGAATCACTCAAGCCTCTGAACTAAAAACCACTCCAAGATGGGGTTGGGTGTTTCCACTCAAGATCGTATAGCAAAGGGCATTTTCAGCCTGTGCCTGCTGATGTGTGAACAGAGAAAGCCGGAAACAGAGGAGACATGCAGGGGAAAAAAAAAAATCACAAAGACCATGACACGCCAGGAGAAAATGAGAGGGAGAGGGCAGGTGCCTCCCCCGCTCACTTCTCATGAGCCCCGTTGGCTCCCTTCCCATGAGGTGGTCTGTCTGAGCTTGCACCAGCCTCCTGCCTCGGCCCTCCCCCAGGCCTTTCAATATGGGCTGGTGTGAAGGTGTCCTCTTCCTTGCAATCAGTGAGCCTTAAGACAGCATTTTATTAGTAAGACAAAAACACTGGAGATCATGGAAATGCCCAGCTATAAGGGGCTAGTGAAACAAATATTCCTCCACAATGAAAAATATGAAAAATAACTAGAGGAATTGATTTTTGTAATAATCTTAAGCAAAAACTGTAGAACATGTGTCTATATAAAACTACAGCATTGGTTAAAAAAATAAAATGGTGGAAGGAAATAACAAGCCCTATGTTTGTTGAGCACCTGTCGTGAGTCATCACTTGGCTCTGATGCCGGCCTCACGTTGTTCGATGTGTCTCCAGATGAGATCTGGAAAGGTAAGATGACTTCTTCAAGGTGGCACGGCTCTCGAAGCCAAGTGCAGATGTCATCGGCTCAGAGCCTGGGTAATCTTTCAAATCCTTTTGCAAGGACGTGAGTTATGCACCCGAGAGGGCCTGCCAGAGGCTATCGCGACAGCGTCCCTACGGCCATCTGCACACCACTGAGGTCCCACCGGTGCTCTCCTGCGGCTGCCTGGTCTTGTTTCTCAATTCTTTTTGGAACCCTACCTGGTTGGCTTTTTTCTAAATTCTTCCAGACTTGAGCAAGTGCCTCAATATCACTTTATATGAAAGCAATTCCAGATAACAGCAGTTTTTCTTAGGTTTTTCTCAGCTCGAACACTTGATCTGAGAGGACAGTACTCAGGGATAGATTTCTGACTGCTCTTCCCCTGCCCATTTTCTTCTCCAAATCTTCAACTCCACCTCCACCTTCACCACCGTCCCCCACCCCCCCCATTTCTTCCTGAGACTCATCTACCTTCCTCCTGCCTCCGTTTCCCTCTTCCCAAGGAGAGCGCTGAGCCTGATCAGTTACCTGGCGGGGCCCTGGCTGGTGTAGGAGCTTTGCCTGGACTCCGCCAGTCCTCTGGTCTCCATGGCGATCTGCTGCAGTTCTGACGAAGTCTCCTCGCTCGGCGAGTGGACCCTAGGAAATCAAATATGCAGCAGGCTAAATTGATTTCAAGCTCATCCCCTCCTGGACACACTCAGGGATGAGCTGGCCAGATGTCCTGCTTAATGAGGAAAGCCGCCAGCACTGGTCTTCACTCTGTCTGTGCTCCAGCCGGATCCAGCAGATCCCAGCTTTTAGGATAAACATGGCCTTTCTTTTACAGCAAGCCTGACCCCAGAAGGTAGCTTGTCCAGCCACTGCCCATGGACTTAAGGGTGCAGGCCAGCAGCACACGGTCCTCATCCGAGCGCCGGGCAGGGGTGTCCCAGGGCCCACCATCGGGTTTCACAGCAGCTGTTTCGGCACAGTAATCCCAGAACAAGAATTCTGGTTCAAACACCATTCTGCATACTGAAATCCTATCTGCTAAGGCCGGACTATGGGTACGCCACAGTCACACTACCTGGGCAGGTATTTGTGTGCTCGGCCAGCAGCCCTCCCAGGAGCCCATTCGGTATTTGGTCCTGGAATATCATATGGAATTGGCCTAGACCTCCACATGCATTTGTACAGTGATTTCGCATGAAAATTCATTTCCACTGTGGCCTTTTGTCAAACCCAACCTCTGTCCCCTGCAGTGGGGGGCTGGGCAAGTGACCTCACCTGTGCAGTTCAGGGCGAAGAGCATGAGCGCAAATAGGACAGGTGCCCACGGCTCGATGTGAGCACCAGTCACATCAGCAGAGCCTTGGTGTTTGTTGAACTGCCCAGAATAAGACCAATGTGTTTGGGTATATTTTCCTTTCGTTCCCTGTCTTTTAAAATCTCCTAGGGCTAAAAAATTTGATCAGCTTGATTAAAAGCCATCCAGGCATTGACCCCTAGGGATTTACACTTCATTCTATGAGTCTTGAAGAGCCCAGGCAGGACAAATTAATTCCATCACGTGATCTACTGCAACCTAATCAGCCTTCTTAACCAGGTGGCAACACAGTTGAGGAAGTAAGCAACAATTAATGTCAGAAAAAAAGCTCTCTCTCTCCTCAGTGAGGGATTGGAAGGCAGAGTCCTGAATCCCAGCTGCAGATCTGCTGACTTCTGTTTCTATAACATCCATGCCATCTCCAGCCGCAGGGCGCTCACCACCGTCCCATGGCCCACCTGGGCCATCTTCGTAGCGGGCTCTTCCGTCCCTCAGCTTCCTCAGACCAAGGCTACTTCTTTTTTTGTGCTGGAACCACGCAGAGGCAGGCCTCTTCATCTTCTCCATGACCACCTTTGTGTAGATGGGACACGAAGGGACAGCTCTCACACCTGTGCCCCTTCTGGTTTTGCAGGCTGGAATCCCCCAGCTCACCCAGCCACGCCTCATCAGGTTCAAGGCTCTTGCCCATCGTGGTCGTGCTCCTGTGAGCAGGTTCCTGCATTCCTGCCTGGCTGGGCATGGAGACTGAGACCACTCTGTTGTTACTGGAGCCCAAGCCAGAGGTCATTGTAGGTTTGTGAGTTTGTGGGCCTTTGGTGTCCCTATCACCAACTACCGTCAGCCAAAACCCAAAGTCTTATAACATGGGCTGCTGTTAAGCCAGAAGGTCCTATCTTGTGCATGTACAATTGGTTTGTTGGAAGTAAGTTCTGGCCTTTCCATTTATCTGAGCCACTTGATGTTTTGGGACCCTTGGTATGCAGTGGTGCCATGCTAGTTTTTCCTCCCAGCTCCATCTGGTTCACATGCAATGCACAAACCATAGGCCATTTATTAACTGTTTACTAAATGCCAGCCATATAGATCTTATCATTTATTCCACATAACCACCGCATAAGAGAGAAAACTGAGGTTCAGAGAGGTTAAATAACTTCCCCAAGATCATACGGCCAAGTGGCAAAGCCGAGATTTGAATGTCATTCCATCCCATGTCAAAGCCTGCTCTCGGGCCCCTGGGTGGCTCAGTCGTTAAGCGTCTGCCCTCGGCTCAGGTCATGATCCCAGGCTCCTGGGATTGAGTCCCACATCGGGCTCCCTGCTCGGCTGGAAGCCTGCTGCTCCCTCTCCCACTCCCCCTGCTTGTGTTCCCTCTCTCACTATGTCTCTCTCTGTCAAATAAATAAATAAATAAAATCTTAAAAAAAAAAAAGCCTGCTCCCTCCACTCTATGAAGCTGCTCTCTGTATTTTCACATATGGCACCGATTAAAGCAAAAGTTTAATAGGACATGGCTGAGGACTGAGCCCTGTGGTATGCCACTGGAGACATGGCTCTGGTCCACCTGACTATACTATGTGGGCATGGCTCTTTATTTTCAAACCATCTAATTGAATTCTCCCTCTTACCCCTAAAAGACCACCCATGTTTTTCATCTTTAGACTCATGGGAAACACTGCCAGAGGGCCTGCTGCAGTTCAGAAGCTCTGATCCCCTAGCCCTCCTAATAATCTGTATACTATGAGGATAGAATGCGCATTCCAAGGCACCTTGGGCAGTTCCTAGAGGAGGGAGAGTGGGATGAAAGTGAGTGAGTCCATATCTCTAGTCCCTGGATCCTAGCAGCTGGTGTGTGGTGGAGTTAGGGGTGCAGCAACCGACAGCTGGGCTGCAGCTCCATCACGGCATGTGTGCCCGGAAGATCCGGAGGCAATCCCAAGGGTGAAGGTGTTCTGTCCCCACCAGCAGTTCCTCAGGGAGCTCTGGGCACCAAGAAGCCGGCCCAGCATTTCTGCCCAGTCTGCTTTCTGTTAATTACGTGACGACACATCCTGAGAACAGATTTATTTGCATTAGTAGCAAAAGAATCAATGACATCAGAGCTGATGAGTATGTGAGGAGGGCAAAACCCACCTCAGATTCCAAAGCAGGCCTGCTCCTGGCAGCAGTGAGGGCTCCCATGTGGGGGCTGGGTCTGGGACACTCGCTTGAAGGGCAGGTGCGGAGTGGGGAGCCAGGAGGCCTGGGTTCAAATCCCTACCCTAACACCTATTAGCTAGGTGTTCTGTGGGCTGGTCACTTACCCTCCCTGAAGTTTTGTAGTCTTCAAAAAGGAACTAAAGGAAAAATTGGTGATTTTGTATCGACTTAAGTAGTGCTCAAACAGCCAAGTCCAGAAAAGGCACATTTCGCTGTGAAGAATAGGGAAAGCCTTCTAGGAAGTAAGTTCAAGGGACCCAAGTGGGCCTTTTCTTCTCCCACTTGTTCTTTTTGATGCTTGAAGTTCTCTGATGTCTTCTAGCTCCCGAGTCTCTACCCTCGTTCAATGAGTGGGGGTATTTAGTCAACCCAATTAGTTATTCCTCAGAGAAACTGATTTTACCCAGCAGATGGAAGAGGAGATGGGAAGAGAGAAGAGCCAGATGTCTGAGGTGACACTTTGAGTCCCCGAGGACCCACAGGTACTGAGAAAAAGGGAGCCACTTCTGGCAACCAATGGAAGAATGGAGATCCAGAACCTCCCAGAGAAATACAGAGGCAGGAGAGATGGGGGGCCAGGCCCTGTCCTGTTGGGAGCTGGCAGAGAGGTCTGGGGCAAGAACAACCCCAAAGCTGCCCTCCCATTTGTGGACGCCGACTATAGGCAGCGTGATGACAGCTTTGCAGGAAGGAGCACGGTGAAGTTGGCGATTGGCAAGAAAAAGAGCAGCCAGCACAACACAACGATGTGGCTGTTTTTGAAGGAGAAGGTAATTTTCAACTTGTGATGTTCATCTTCTAAGTTTTCTTATAAAGAGGAACTTCGTGTCTGTGAGGTAAAAGTTTCCCCTGTCCCCGGGAGGAGACAGGGGTGCTCATCAGAATGGCAACTTGTCGTCAGCTTTGCACTTTGCGGAGCACCTGATGTCTTCCCCTGGTGACTTTGGAGACGTAAGAGTAAACAAAACCTTTGAGAGCAAGGGTGGCGACGATCATACCTTGTTTTATTTTCCTCCTCTCCAGCCCTGAGGAACTTGACTGACCCACAGGCACTGCCATTGGCCACATGTGACCAGGGAACTGAAGTGAGTGCATTTTTGTCTTCGGTCCTAGGGAAGCAGGCTGAAAATGGTGTTCTTTGGTGATAATTGCTTTGGGCTCTGCTCAGAGAGCAGCACGAAGAAGGCTTCTCTTCGGTAGGACACAAACCCCGGTGCCCCAAAGCTCGCCTAAAATAGCTACGCCAAGAGATTGATCTGAGATTTGAGGTGCCCCTGGTCCTCATGGTAATAATCTGTCGCAGATTCCGAAGTCTTTCCCTACTGCATTATCTTTTCAAATATGCCAGACTGCTCTTAAATAATCAAGTCAACTAAGCAGATCTAAATAGAAAAGAAAAATTCAAGACAATTTTATTTCTGGTATTTCCAGCGTTTTGACTTTTTTGTTCAAATGAACAAAACATGTTCAAATGAAATGTTTTCATTTCACAGAGCTCCTTCCTGCAATGTTTTCATCTTTCCTTATGGTTTGTCACCAGGAAAGTGATCCCAGTGATTTAAAAAAGGAGAAACAGAAACCTGGCTCTCTAATTTGGTGAAAGATTTCAGGACAGGGATGTCTCAGGGGATGGGGACGTGATATCTCCTCCTTCCTGGGGGCATTCAGCAAAGGTCACAGTGACACACAGGTTCCTACTAGCCCAGTTTCTTGATATCATTGAGGACAAAGAATTATTAATATGTAAGGAAAAACCCTCAGTTACTTCTCCCATATGCTTTCTAAAAGGATTTTAATTTTGTTTTTTATTATTTTTTAAAAGTTTATTTATTTAAGTAATCTCTACACCCAAAATGGGGCTCGAACTCATGACCCTGAGATCAAGAGTCACATGCTTACCAACTGAGCCAGCCAGGTGCCCCTAAAAGGATTTGAATTTTAAAGCAAGGATCTATGGTTTATTCAAACACCATTTCCTCCCCTAAAACAGTGATTTGAAACTTTAAAAATTTTGTGTGTACAAGCCAGAGCTCCTGTTCAAATGAATCTTATAGGGAAAACTAGTCTGCATTTAGACAGATTTTGGGCTGTGCTGGGAAGCAGAGGAGGGGCCTGGACCTGGCCTCTGGCCCAAGGCTGTTCCACCCCCCAGCCTGAACACACATGCTCAATCCTTAGTAACGCCAAGGAACCCATTCCAGAAACTTCCATCTGTTAACCCAGTCCTGCCTCCATAAGATAAAGCAAACATCTGTCTCATGATGTTTCTCTCTCTTTTGAAATCTCCATAGTGTCTCCAAGGGATTCTGTATTAATCTGTCAACAAGCTTTTACCATGGGAGTGGTGGGGCAAGGCTGCAAGTGAGCCTCAGTGAGAACAGACTAGTGGTCAGGCTGAGAAAGCATGACTTGGTCACAGGCAGGAAATGGCCAGATCCAGATGTCAGGACAGCTGGAGCTATCTGAGGTCAGAGGAGAAGGCTTCCAGCCTGGGACGCCAGGGAAGGCGCACAGGAGGGAGACTCATTTCCAAGACTGACCGTGAGCACTGACTGAACACTTTCTCCACACCAGGGACGGTGCCGAAAGCATTCACCTATTTTAACCTCACTACAGCCCTCTGAGGTCAGTACTAGTCCACTATGCAGAGGAGGAAAGTGCAGTCCGGAGTAGTTGCACAACTTTTCAGAGCTGGTCAGTTGCAGAGCCAATGTTCAAACCCAGCCAGCCTGACCCTGAGCCTGTTAGTCATCACCTGGTCAGGAGATGGGGGGTAGGAGGGAGAGTGGAGGGCTTCTTCCCATCCATGAAGATGGTAAATAGCATTGTCGAAGGGCATCAATTCAGAACCCCTGACTTTGTGGCTGACCAACCCTCCGAGTGTGCATAAACCCAGCATGAGCCCCCAGAGTCTCTTGGAAGCCAGAGGCCCATCGCTGGGGTCCATGTGGCTTAAATTGAGCTAGCAATTTATTTTGCAAAGGGTCATCTTCCAGGAGACCCGGTGAGCTCTCTTCAACAGCCAATGTCTCAGGCTGGGCTTGTAGGCCACTGGCTGAGGCAGAGCCAGGACAAATCAGGCAGAGATGGACCATGGTGGTGTCTGGTCAAGCAGGCATTCTGGGCAGGAGCCCCAGCCCACCAACTGGGCCTGCCTTTTCTTGAGTATCTAACTGTAAAGAGCCAGACTAAGACCTTGTTGTTCTCAGCCCCAGGGAGTCTGGAAGGTCCATGAGAGGCTCTGATGATGTCCCACTCGAGACAAAAGGGAGCAGTGGGGGAAAGGTCCATTTTGCTTCAAATTCTTGATTCTAACAGCTTCTGTCCTTCTCCCATTGGGCCCAAGGTCCCAGGAGCCCAGTGTTGCCCAGGGAGCTTCACTTTACTGCTGTGCCCCATGCTTGGACCTGTTCTCCCCTCCGCCCCAATCTTCTTTGAACACCCTGCCCCAAGAGGTTTATTAGCACAGATGTGAAAAAGAAGCTATTCATGCATACCAAAGTTTTAATAGCAGATATCTGTCCTAAAAGTGTTCTTTTTTTTCTTTTAAATTAGGGGCAATGACTTAACCTAAAGGAATAAGTCCCCAGTGGTGGGACACTGGTATTGACAGTAAGCCAGTTAGGAGGGAGAAATTTGAGTAGAACGAGAATTTCTGATGGCCCTGAGTCATCTCAAAAATTTCTGGGGCTCCAGCACCATGTTAAAATGGTTGGAGGCAATAAATATCTGTTGGAATGCTTTGAGATATTCCTCTCTTTGCCTGAAATCCCCAAAGGTGGGGTCCTAGGGCTACATAAATTTGTAGTTACAGGGACTCAATCTCTTTGGAAATTGTTGTCCATCACTCATGAGCTGAGTTAGCTAAGGAGTGGGACCAAGAATCTGGACAGAAAAAAACAAATACGCATCTGAAAGAAGAAGTGATATACACTAGTAACTGAGGATAAATGGTGGATGAGGGCCCAATACCAGGGATGTGAGCACTGAGGGACTGTCATTGCAGTTTATGGTCATTGGATAATATGCCGTTATCATGGGAGGGAGAAGTTTTCAGTGGAAATAAAGTTTCTCATGGTTCAATTCAATCAATTCACTGAGAATTTAAGAAACATAAAAATATAAGTCCATTTGCACCAAATAGGTACACTCCCACTTCCTCACCATTGTGCCAGGAGCTTGGAAAAGATGCTGCTCCATTTTGCAGTTGAAGAAAGGCATGGGAGATTAAGTGGCTTTTCCCCAGTCTACTAGTAAGCTACGAACAGGGCTAGAAGTAGAACTCAAGGTCCAGATTTCCTTATGGCTGCCTGTGTGGGGATGTCATTGATGGGGCAACTGGCTTCACTGGCAAGGCACAACCCACTCTTTGCAGACCATGAGCACAGTATGAGTCCTGACCTTCCACTGGAAGCGAGGGACAGAGCTGATTCATACTACATCCCTAGAGCCCAGGACAATGGCTGGTGCATTTATTGGACTCTGTAGTCCAATAAATGTCTGATGTGTACCTGGGAAAGTATGGCAGTTTGGAGAAGTTTTTACAGTAAATTTAATTTAATTTGCTGTATTTGAATCTTCATTTTGTTACCTTTTAGAAGTTACATAATGTTTTGAGCCTCATTTTCCACCTCTCTAAAATGAGAATAAAAACTACTTCAGTGGGTTGTGAGGCTTAAGTGAGATGAAATAAATGAAGTCAGAAGGAGCTCTGTGAATAGCCCGCACCCTTCAACCTGTGGTTGGCCACAGGCTAAGGCATTCTTTACCCCACAGTCTAGATCAGCTATGGGAACAACTCATTTTACGGGCATAAAATGGAAAGCCCATCTTACCTGCTGAGGCCGTTTTCAACGTGGTCAAGATCTCTGTCCGTGGTCCTTACTGCAGGGTGGGAGAACTGGGTGTTAATCTTGGCCATCTTCTTGCTTTGTCACGTTCAGCCTCAGGGTGGTTGCTGAAATGTGAACACAAAGCAGATTACATCAGGATGGGGAAGTACCTGCAAACCCAGCTCATTGTAGGTAAGGGCTATTTCTCCAGGCAAGCCCTGGCAGACATATCCTCTTCCATTTCTCCCATAGTTCCAGCTACACTGTTTTGTTTTTTTTTTAATAATAGGTATTGAGTAAATACTATGTGCCAGGCATCATTCTAAGCATTTTACAAAGATCATTTAATCCTCACAGCATCCCTATGGGGCAGATGCTATTATCCCCATTTTATAGATTAAATATATATATATAAACATATAATGTATTATTTGTTTCAGGGGTACAGGTCTGTGATTCATCAGTCTTACACAGTTCACAACGCTCACCAAAGCACATACCCTCCCCAGTGTTCATCACCCAGCCACCCCATCCCTCCCACCCCCCTCCACTCCAGCAACCCTCAGTTTGTTTCCTGAGATTAAGAGTCTCTTATAGTTTGTCTCCCTCTCATGTTTTAGTTGGGTATCTTTGGGTTCTTCTTCCCAGACTGAAGCACAAGCAAGGTCTTTCACTCCATACCGAAGAGCTGCTCAAAGTTAAATGCTGATCCAGCCAATAAATGAATGATTGGCCAAGTTGGTATTTGATATAAGAAAGCTAAAATCCTCATGATTCTGTGGAATGATGTGATGTTCCTCTTCACTCTGGTTTTCTCATTTACTTATTTTTATCTTATAATTTTTCACATGTTTTAGTAGCTCCCCCAAATCCCATTTTAAATCAAAGCATTAAAAAAACAAACAATACTTGACATTCATAAAACCTTTACAATGTGATATTATACTCAAAACACACTGCATCTCATTTAATCCTCATAATAACCTCATCAGATATTTACAGTTTTTACCCCCACTTAAAGATGACTAAATTGAGATTCAGAGATGTTAAGCATCTTGTTCAAGCAAAGAAATAGGTAAAACCTGTTGATGGCATGATCCTGGTGCTAGAAATCAGACCATGAATACTCTATCTTCAGCTAACATTGGAAGGTGCCCCTATGACTGATGAGAAAAGAAAGTTGATGTGAGCACAGGGCTGGTGTGATGAACACAAAGATTGGCCAGTTCCCTCATCCTTGATCAAAACCTTCCAGGCAGAAGATGAATCCCTGAGGACAGTTTCTCTTAAACAGACAAACACAGGCTCTCTCAAGCAGTCACATAGCTTGAGTATGTCAGATGTCAGTAGAGACCACTCTAGAGAAAGATGGTGATTTCTAGAAATAGTCCAGTGACTCACTCCAAGACTAAATTAATTCCATATCCAAAGGAAGGAGAGTGCAAGGAGCCTAGAATACTGCACCAAAGCCTGGATGTAGTTCCTGCTCACCACGGCCAACCCACCGTGAGTTTACTCAGGGGCAGTTGTTTGCTCATAGGTTTTGGTTCATCTCTGATGTTTGATAATTTAAGTCTATGGTTTAAATTTTATACTTTTCTCAATAGATCAAAAACTGTTTTGATCTTAAAAACTTTACTCATTTATGTAACAGTGAGTTTCTGGCTGATCACAGGAGCTAAAAGAAATATAAGATAAAGACAGTTTTCAAGGATCTTATAGTCTAGTAGGGCAGATGATGGATACCAGAGAGTCCTGCAGGCCATGTTAAGGAGCTTGGGCTTTACCCTGAGCCCAGCAGGGATGTGGTCCAATGTGTAAAGGCCATTCTGGCTGCATTGAGGAGGACATATTCAGGGAACATGAGTTGGTGTGAGGTGAGCGGCTAAATGCTGCAGTATCTCAAGAGAGAGAGGATAGTTGCCTGAACTAGGTTTGTGGTAATGAATGAGATAAATTAAAAAGCTACTAAATAGATATAATCACTGGGACATGGTAATTAATCAGGTATAAATTATAGGGTGATGAGGAGGGCAGTACTGAGCATGATGCATGACTGCTGGTCTGGGGCATTGATGGTTCTGCACACTGAGGCAGGAAACTAGGGGAAAAAGCAGGTTTGAGAAAAAGAATGCTTCCAGTTTGAGATGTCTATGGAAACCTTAGAGCCAACATAGGAAATAAATGTCTTCCATTAAAGGAAATAAGCCCAATTTGAAATCATTCACCCAGTGCTTTTTTATTAAGCACTTACTATGTGTGAGACAATATGCAAAGAGCTAGGGTTTTACAGAGAAGGATATGCATCTCTGTCCTCAGGGAGCTTACAGTCCAGTGGGATCTAGAGCAAGTCTTAAAAAAGCTTTAGGACTCTGCAGAAAATCTATCAAATTATTCTTTTTTATACATTTCCAGGAAAGTTGCACCAGAGAAAGTTCATTGCCTCCAGCCTGGGTCCCTTCCTTCAGCCCGCCTCAGCTGCACAAACCCTGGCCTTAGATCCTATTGTATGGAGGCAATACTTCTGGGCCCTCACAGACCTGCCAGCTATGGAGGGTTACTGTATGCCAGAAACAGGGTAGGTGTTCATGTAATACTGCTCCTTTAACCCTCAAATAGCCTCCCCTTTCCTGCCCTTTTACAAGTGAAGAAGCTGAAGAGGTACGTAATTTCTGTAATGTTGCTTAGAGCCTAAGCCAGGATTGACAAAATTCTGTCTGACTCTAGGACCTGATAGTGTAAAGTTAGTGGGTGGCAAAGAATGGGCATTGCCTTTTGGCCTGAGCAGGAGGGGTCCCTGCCTGGGACCCCAGGCTTTAAAGGACTCTACTCTGACTCTCTTCCAGCCACAGAATATGAGGCCAAGCAGACTTGCCTCCTGCTCTAGATTATGCTCTGGGTGCCCAAGACTCCCAAATTCTGTGCTCAGGAGGCTCTGGACTGGTTCTAGGGCCTGCCTGGGTCTCTTACCAGGTGTATTTTCCTGAGAAGGGCATCAGTGTGCACTTCCCTAGAGCTCTAGGTGGCCAAGGAGCAGCTGTTTGGAGGGAGGGGTGAATAGAGCTCAGAGCTGTGGGGTGTCCACACGTGTGTGTGAAAGACCCCTTGTGACCTGAGGTAGACCTGGACTGAGCAGAGAAGGAGGCAGGCATGGATGGGGAACCAGAGATCAAATCTTCCCATGCCACCATATTCTGAGGCTGAACTCAAAGGGGCCTGAGAAGTCTCTATTTGAATCTGGCCTTCCAGTCATTGCAAAAGTGATTTGTCAATGTAAGAGGATAGGGCATGTTTGATTCGACAGTGTATTAGCTTGGTCTCTGTCACAGTCATCTCCAGCTCTCTACCTCACATCCTTCCTGCCCATCTTTCAGTCCAGCTATTGCTATGGCAACCAGTTGCCTGTGCGGTGACCCAGTAGCACCTTGCCTCAGCTACACTGTGGACTGCTCCCCTTCCTTCCTGGGGGCTTCCCTGCTTCCCCCAGAGAACATATGCTAGGATGCTTATGCCATTCTGACACATGTACAAAACTAGAAGGGCTAGAGAGGTAACTCCCCCTTGGGCAACTTTGACTTCCAGAACTCAGGAATCAGCAGTAAATGTTCCCATCTTCTATTCCTCAGGAGGGTAATTCAATGGTACTCTACATGGCTCTTTGGAGAAGCCCTAGAAGGATCAAGCCAGTTGCCCAGAGTGGTGATCAGTTTGATAATATACACTTGGGGTGGCTTTCCCTTCTTGCCTTGTTTTCTCTTCTAAGACCCCCATGTCTCTTCCTTGGAATCACCCCCCAAATAAGCTGCCTGCCTGCAGGCTTTTGTCCAAAGTTCCAGGTTTGGGATTTTTGTGTGTGTGTGTGTGTGTGAGGAGGTGATTACCTCAGCTAAGAGAATACTTTTTTAGATATTTAGACAAATGGTAGGTGGGTTACGTGTACTCCTGACCTGGGCCCCTGATGGGTAGAACAGGGCAAAATGTGTGTGATTAAAGGGAACTGTTAGTTTAAGGTAAGTCAGAAGATCTTTTTTTCCCAATTGTTCATAAACATCATAATAATTGTATTTCTTAAAAAATTACTTTAAAAATCAGGATCCAAACCAGGTCCCCATATTCTGATTGGCTGATTTGCATTTTTTAATCTAAAGTGCTTTTCTTAAAGATTGATTTATTTTAGAGAGAGAGAGAGGAGTGCTTGTGTGTGCAGGGTTGGGAGAAGAGGGCAGAGGGAGAGAATCTTCAAGAGCCCCTCCATCCCAATCTGAGCATGGAGCCCAGTGGTGTGGGGCTTGATCTCACAACCCATGAGATCATGACCTGAGCTGAAACCAAGAGTCAGACGCTTAACTGACTGAGCCACTCAGGTGCCCCTAATCTAAGGTTTTGGATGCATTTCTCTTCTTTCTCTTTGTGGAAGAAACATAATTGTACTCCAGAGTTTCCTATAGTATGGATTTTTGCCAATTCCAAATTGACAATGTTTTCTGTAAGTTAGCAGTTGTACTCAGAGGTTTGGTCAAACTTGGGTTCAATTTTTTTTCAAGAATATTTCTTCGGGTGATTTTAGCAGCCATTGATGATCATTGCCTGGACCTATCATTTCATCACAAGTTGCAAATTGGTGATATTCTATCATTTCTTCTCTACCAATTAGCTAACATAGTCTTAAAGAAAACTTTACTTATTATTTGGCTCTTCAGTGGTACCGTTCATACAGGAAAGTCAGGATAAACAATCCTTTCCTCTTATTTACCAATTTTTAAGTCCTGACATCCTAAGTGATTCCCCAACTGCCCTATGAATTTTCACATTTCCTAGCCCAGACAAACTCTGGGAGAACTCACAAATGAGATCACGAAATTACAGTCAATGATCCTGAGGCAGCTGTTGAAAATGAAACCTGCCATCCAGCCAGAGCCCCCTGAGTGTGAGGCACCTGCATATCCATTACTCATTAATCCTCAGGAGCCCCAAGAGGTAATAGTGATGCTGTCTGACCCTGAAGTCCACGTAGTGGTTTGTTTTGTTTATCACACCCACTGCAGGAGATTATAAATGCACAAATATAATTTTAATTTTCAAGCACAGGAAGAAGATGTATCCTGCCAACTACCAGGGTGACCTC